CCTTGCCCCGCCCACGTCTGGGAAGCACTTCTGGAGCAACCTCGCCGCACTGTCCTTCGGTCTCTCTCCCACACGCGCGCTCTACCCTCGCGCGTGGCTCTCTCTTTCTCTCACACGCTGCTAATTGCACGCAACGCGATAATGGCAATTGGGCCGGCTGTTGCCAGACATCATTGTGCGCATTGTTGGCACAACTCCCTGCGAATACTGGGCGCGATCTGTCGCCTTTTTGAAAGCGTTATTCACAGTCCTTCGAGCCGGGCGCTCGGCTTTGAAAAGCGGCTGCCTTTTGCACCAGCAGCCCGCGAGTTGGTTCAGGGAGGGAGGTTTCGTTCTCGCCCAGAGAGAAACGGACTGCCGGCTGCATATTCCATGATTGGAGTGCACCCACTTGAGCCACACTTTGTTTGAGGCCAAAGGGGCGCCACAAACAGGGCCCCATCAGCGCTATCCACGCCTGGCCGGCCGGCCACGTCACAAAGGCCTGCCGAGCTAAACACCGCTCGGATCAGCCAACATGCGGACAGCGATTCCCAGCCTTCAACCGCAGCTTTTTCCGGGCTCCCTTTCTTTGATGACGTGAGTAACAACCGGGCCATGATTGCGTTGGCTTAACCGCACTCTCAGTCTGTGCGTGACTAATCATTCTCAAATACTATCAAGTTAGTTCGCAATGGAACTCAAAATGGTATTAAGCAATTGTAAAGTGTCCATGAACTTGTTCTCATGAATTAATGCGCTGAATGGATGTCCTGAAGTCAAACTGGACCAAGCGGACCGAGTGCTCCATCCAACGGGGCAACGGGTTGGTGGGTGCCCAAGTCGTTTTGCGGGGCAACTGTCACCGCACTGGAACCCGTCACTCAATTACGGTGCCGTGTGTCTGCCCGAGAATGGCGAGCTAACGAACGCCGCTTTCAGGCTCTGGTCCGTTTGCCGGCGATCGAACCCAATCGGGGACCGGCTTGCGTGAGCCTGGCTGGCCTTGCCGGCCCGGTCCACGCATTTGCAAGCCAAACCAGCCACCCATTCACAGGAAGTGGGTGAAGCAGCACGAAGCGTTTTCCGACGAGCTTGGCTGACGAGCCTCTCTACTTTCGGTTTGTGACAGAATTCTCGGAAGCCTGACGCTTGTCGAGCCACACTCTTTCATCTTGCCTCGCGTGGCTGAGGCAAACAGATGCACGTGCTCTTTCAAAGCCAGAAACAGTCTACTAGCTCATTCTTCCAGGAACTAACCCTTGCATTACCCTGTAAGAAAAGTGTTTTTCATTTCAGCAGGAGGGAGCACTGTTGCATTAAGTGAACTGCATCCGTGCATTTCTTGAATTCAATTCTCTGGTGATTTTCTGGCTCGCCATAAATGTGTGCGTGCTTGTGTGTGTGGGTGCTCGTTGGTGTGCATGTGATGGCCGGATTGAGAGATTGTGCCGTATAGGAAGCCACAAGCAGTGACTCCCAATCCCAGGGTGGCGCCCCCCGCCCCACCATTTAAATTATTCACGTATGCCGATTCGCAGTGTACACGCTCACCACATTTCACGGGCAGCCATCAGCGCATGTCGCGCGGCCCACTTGATGAAGCAGCCAATCCCAGCGAGTTTTGGCTCCAACTTGATGCGGCCAAAAAGAAGAAAAACATTTGCGGGTCGCGTCTTGTGAGTAGGTGCTTTGGAGCTACCACAAACCGTGGTTTGTATAACCGGACTCAACCACGTTACAATAAAAAAAATGAATCTTCTGATTTGGAAACGATCGAAATATAATCCTCAAAAGAATGCTCAAAGACTTATCTTTGTACATTTGCACATGCGCTAAGCAGTTAATAACCCCCCTTTTGCGACTCTCTTTTGAGTCCGTAATGGGCGAAGAGTGTGAGGCAAGTTCGATGTGTGGTCCCAGCCCAGTCCCGCCGACCCTGCCACTTTGATGTCTCTGTCGTAACCCGGGCGCAGTAAACACTCGCATTTACAAGTGTGTTTGTGTGAGCACCATTAGGCGGAGTGTGCGATTCCAGGGGAAATGTGTCAGCCCGCCCTCGGCACGCCCATAAACTCGGAACATTTTGGAACGCCAATTTGCAAATGTGACAGTTACCATACTTGTGCAAAACTGACTTTTCTTTGTCTACTGTTTTTGCTCCAAGTCACGTATAATACTGAAACTATCCAACAATATACGTCTGTGTGGGTAAGAGAGCGACGTTTTAAATATTTTGACACGGTGGACATGTATGTCTATGGGCTCGGGCTTTTTGATTAAGCTCTCACTAACACGAACTGCACTTAAACACACACACGCACACACACTCCCGCAAACGCGCACACCTACACTGGGCATGCTGCCATGGCGGTCTGCACAAAAAGTGAGCCTCGTGACCATTATTTTAATGTGGAGCACTTCTTCGTGCCATTCGATGGCAGCTCATTGCTCTGCGAGTCCCCGCAGGGCCCCGCGGGGGGCTCTCAACGTGAAACCCCACTAATGATGCGAGGTGGATTATTGGTCGTCGCATTCACCACGTGCTGCTCATCTTTTTCTTCTTCTTCTTCTTCTTCTTCTTCTTCTTCTTCTTCTTCTTCTTCTTCTTCCAGCTCTTTTCCCCCCGTTCCCGCTGCGTCATGCTCTGTCTGCTGCTCTTCGCCACTTGAAAACAATTACGCTCGCCAACTCCAATTAGTCGAGCCGCGTGCATGCCGTCTTTGCTGCACCTGCGCTCTCCGTCTGTCCGCGGAATTGTGCGGTTGAGAGTAGGAAAAAAAATGATTTCAGATCCGGAGCGTCCTCTGGGAAAAAGTCAAAATGTGAGAAAACTTGAAAGAGTAAGCCTGGAGTTTGTGGCCGGTAACCGTGTTGGTCCTACGCTCGCTCTGTGCCTTCTGCCTGCAGTTAGGCCCTTTTATCCGGCGAGGCCCGAGCCAAGAGCGAGGGGAGGGGACTGGAGGGGACCGGAGAGGACCGGAGGGGATGGGCCACGGTTTGGCCGCCTCCCCATAGCGCGCTCAATGTTCCGGAAGAGGCAGGCCGCAGCCCTCCCGCCCCACCACTGGCCTTGTCCGAGCCCTGCCCCCTCCCCGCCCCCTTCCCCGGGGAATCGATGCATTCCCGAAGCCTGCGGTGGTACCTACTCGGCCTTTGTAACTATCCGCAAACTCAGAGTCGTCTCGTCACGCTGACCGAGCCACCGTATCGGCTCGTGTTGGTACACCGTGTTCCTGCCCTGGCCGGTCCGGTGGTCGCCCGTGGTAAACTCTCTCTATCTCCTTGCGGGCCCCGGTGAACTTGTTCATGAGGCCCGAGAAAGTCCTCGGGTGTTTCACGATTCGCCGTTCGAGGTAATGATCGTGTTGATGCCCCCGAGAGCCTCATCGTGGCACACTGCTGGCGGGGCGTTGCAGCCTTGCGCTGTGGTACTGCAGCCACGAGCGACTGCCTGTCTGTTTTCCTACTTTGCCGCAAGCGTCCGACCCGTTTCCCTAACTCAGCTGAAATTTTAAGCACATTTTGGCTTGAGTTCCCAATGTCACCGTCAACATCAAAGCTTTTCCACTGGCTAATTTTTTAGACGTTCACTAATCTTTTTTTTGTGTGGCTGCAGTGGCCTGCCAACGCCCTGACGATGGTGGGGTTGTTGACGGTCTCCAGAGCGCGCTGCGAGTCAAGTCCAGTCTTGGCCGCACTTTGGCCTTTTCGATGGCGCTGTTAATGAAATCTAAATGTTTAGTCGCTCGATTGACGCAGAGAGACTCAGCCGGCAATTTGGGGTGCAAAGAAAGTAGAGATTCGCTGGCGCGGCTGGCCCGGAGCAGTCGAGACTCATTCTGGCGGAGGGGTGGGGGCGCCAGACCGGCGTGCCTGCTGCGAGTCTGTTCTTCGTTGCTGCCGCTGAGCGCACGTAACACAGAGTTATAACATTCGTGCCCCCGAGTCCCGCTCTAGTCGTGTTTGTTTACAACTGGCGAGTTCTTTTCAGTAACCTGGAAAGGCCAACCGGATACTCTGCACCACCACTTTAAAAAAACCTGAACAGCCTTTCGGAATAAAATGCTCAAGCTTTTTTTAGGTCCCCCAAAATACTTTACAACTTACGAAGTGATCGTGCCTGGCAGGGTGAGGCTGATCGTCTCATGTAGGTCTGCACCTGCGCGTCGGGCTGCAGCGAGAACTGCTTGCCAGACACAGCGACACCTGTCCAACCCCCTCCACCACCCCTTCCCTACCCCCGGGCTCGCCTTGCGTATTGACATGGCTGGCATACGTCTGCTGGCCCAGCCCGCTTGGCAAGTCATCTCCGGACTCTCCCACGCACATCTCTAACTGGGTCGTGCGTGGCGCAAGTACACTGTTGGGGCTTGCGTTGTCACTCGGGTGGATGTATAAGTCCGTCGAGGCCCCAGAAGTCATCGGAAGATGTCTTCACAGGAGCCGAAGGGGACGAAGAGAGAGGAGGGCATGATTGTGTTGTTGGAAGCGGTCATCGAGTGTCAGTTGAATCCAAATGGTTTGTTTTATTGGGGCCTGGGGGCGGCCTTGTGGGTGGGCGGCCTTGCGGGCGGCCTTGGTGCGGCCCCTATCTGGCCAGCCACATCCTTGTCGTAAACACTGTCGCCGGCTTCCGGCGGGAAGCCGAGACAAGATCAAGATTACCGACAACTTGTCACATGTTCGGCCCGGCGAGTCGCAAGGCGAGGCGCGCCCAGCTCGGACTACACTGGCAAACTGGACGGGGCTGCGGAAATTTGTATCCAACTGCTCTCCAAGCCACAGACGAGAAAAGTAATCCACTATGAAATACTGCTGTCCGTCACGTAAACGGAGATACAAACGGGCGTGTGGCATATTTTTTTTAAAAACTGTGCCGACGCAATGACTCAACGCATTTTAGGCTCCAAAGTCGACAAATGTAACTCGAACCTTGGGCAGGGTCTTCTTTCTTGCGCAGGGTCTTCTTCCTTGGGCAGGGTCTTCTTGTCTCAGTGTAACGCCCGTGTCTGTTCCAGGATGCCCTGCCCGGGGCCGGCCGGCTGGCCGTCGCGGCCAGGCCGTGCCTCGCATGGCTCTGCGTAGTGGCCCTGCCTAGGCGGAGCCATGCTGCCCAGTGACCCCTAGACCAGCTCGCCATGGACAGGCTGCCGGCCTGCGTGGCTGTGGTGCTGCTCTTCCTGTGTACAGGTAAGCCAAGCAACCTCTTTGACTGTCTCTAGAGGTTTCCTCCCTAACAACGACTTGGAAACATTTCTGTCCTCACTTAATCGCACATGCAAGGCTCGTTTTCCTGACACGAATGTCATCAAAGCCGATAAAAATGTCTCATCAGGCTGGAACTTCGACAATGTGTTGCTTGGTACTGCGATGGAAACTAAACACCAGGAAGTCTCCCCTCGTGGATGCGACAAAGTCGTTCGGTGTAAGCCGGGCCGAAGGTTGCCCTTTCGCAGGGAGCCATGCGCGGCGCGCCGAGAGCAAACACCGTGTAAAAAATTATTCTGCGCGTGTGATGGGCTAAGCAAGCAGGGCGGCTGGCTTTTAGCGAAACCAGCGACCGTGAAACGCCGAGGCTGCCCACGCTGCTGTCGGCCGGCTTGGCTTAGCCTTCCAAAGCGAGCCCACGGTGACCGCGCGCTTTCAAAAGAGGGGAGTAAACAGGGCGCCAGAGGTGTTAGGCGCTTTATACGCGCATGCTCGGCTGCCTCGCCTGCCTTGTCCGCGGCACAGAGGGTTGGCCGGAAGACCGGTGGAGGCGGCTGAATCTCTTGACGCGTTTTGGGCTCCAGAGTCGCTGATGAAACTCGAAGGGGACGTGTGACCCCACCAATGGATTGCTCGCTCGGAGAGCTCGGAGAGCAATCCATTGGTGGGGTCACACGTCCCCTTCGAGTTTCATTTAGCGACTCTGGCGCTCAAAACGCGTCCGGGATTTTGGCCATCTCTACCGGTGTGCTGGTTTGCTTTCCCTGAGGGTGCACTGCTAACCGCCCTGGCAGTGGCGCGGCACTTTAGGGCGCAATGCAGGCAGCTATCGCTGCGTGCCTCGCCGCAACAACGCTGCGGGAAAACTGACGCAGCGGGGGCCCCTCGCTGGGCCAGCACCAATTATCACGATTTCAAGAAAAGAAAGGACAGGAAAAAGAACCCCCGTTCGCTTATCACAACGAGCTTGCAGCGCTTGCGTAGGTAGTCAAGGTGCTTGTAAACTGCGGGTTGTAAATTTTACCCCCTGCACTGTGAAGGCCGAGTCTTAAAGTTAAAAACAAGTTGAAAATGATACAAGTGGCTGAAATGTATAACGAATGTAACTCACTCTCTCGTGTTATGACGTCTTCCGACAGTGCCTTTGAATCAACAGTCCCGCTGCTCCATTCGCAGGTCCCGTTCTCTTTAGCCCTCCGCGTGTAGGGCTGCGCGTAGGGCAGGGCGGCGCTCTCTGTCAGAGTTCTATTTCCCCGTGTACGGCCTTTCTCGAATTATCCTAACAAAGGCGCATTCGGTATGCGCTCGAATGACTAGGGCCTCCACGTCAAGGTGTGTGTGTGTGTCTGTGAGACTGTGTCTGTAGTCGTAGCTGACGTAGGTGAGCACGCAGATGACTCAGTGCTTCTCCCTCTCTTCGTGAGTGTGTATGTTTGTGCCGAGGCTAAGGCACAAATTAGGGCACATTTTTGAGTAAGCGATTCCTCCCTTCGACAGTCTGCAATCGGTATCAGAGTATAAACCTTGCAGCGTGGCAGGGCGGTCCAGCCCGGTCCGGCCGCCCGGTCCCCGAGCTTGTCGCGGAGTGGCCGTGACGCCTGCCCCAGCGGCCCCAGCGGGCGTTTCCTCTTAGATATTGCCATAAATATTGGAGCCGCTGCGCTAGAACGAGCGGGGTGCCTGCCACGGCCCTGCCAGGGGACCGGGGGACGTCATGTTAATAAGAACCCTTTTCCAAGTGTGGCGGAACCAGGGCCCAGACGAGGCCTCGCGTTCCTTTGCTTTGCGCAGACTATTGCGTTGCCTGCTCGGCTCGACCTCTGAAAACAAAATCCAAACTTGATTCAGGAACTGTTGGAATTTAACCAATATACCGCTCTTCGTACACAGTTGGAATTTTCTCTTTGGAAAAAAAATCAAAATGCGTCAGTGAACATTCCTCGCAAAACGAGCCGTTTGCTCGACGCATAGCGGCATTTGTTGTTGTTTGGCGGTCCGTGTTTTGAGGCGATGCCAAAGCGGCGTCGTGTTGTCGATAAGTCATCTGCACTGGACAGGCTTTGTCCAAGACTTCATGCGCCGTCCCTTTTGGCGTCAGACGGAAACCAAATAGTTGTGCGTTTTCGAATGAGCGGCGTGATTGGGGACCACAGTGGGCCAGAAGACGCGGAAGCGGCCAGACGCGTTTTGAGCTCCAGAGTGGCTAAAAAGGACTCGGATCCCACGTGTGACCCCACCAATGGATTCCTCGTTCGGTGAGCAACCCATTGGTGGGGTCACACGTTCGGTTTAAGTCCCATTTAGCGACTCTGGAGCTCAAAACGCGTCCGGGATTTTGACCGCCTCCATCGGTCTTCTGGCCCACTGTGCACAGATCACGTCTGGACGCTGGATCGGCGCCACGGCCGGACGAGCCGAGCGCGTTCGGGCCGAGCCGAGCCGAGCCAGGCGGTGGAGCCGAGGCGGCTGGACTAGGCCCGTTGCAAGCAATGGCGCTGCCCTTCATTAAGCCCGGAAGTGGGGCAGGCAGGCCGTTTGGCGAGACTGCCACCGAGTGGGACGCATTCTTCCGTCCCTCTCCTTGAGGCTCGCGTCGTCCGGACATGGAAAGCAGAGCGCCTGGCTGCGGCGCGCCCAACCACTCGTCAGTGGCCGTTTGAAACAAAAAATCTGTTTTTTAAAGTCTGGTTATCACTCTCAACAAGCTCACTAATTTAATTTGCCTTAGGTCGAATCAATATTTGTGGGTGAAGCTGGTTGGAATGTACAGCACGGTTGAAGCATCCTTCTGCTTACTGAGGGCCCCAAGCACTGCTGTGCCAAGTGGTGCGTACGGAGACCGCCTTTTGCCCGCCGATCTGACCGTAGCCCCCCTCCCTCTTTGTCGGTTGCGCGGTGGTCCTCTGTGGGCCGGGATGGGACTCCAGATGTGTAGTGGACCCGCAGGCGATGGTCAGGGGCCGGCACTGCCACAAGAAGGTGCCCTTCTGCGCTGCCGTCATTCGTCACCAGTGCTGCAGTGTTTGGCGACTCCAGCGGTCCTCTGGCCCACTGTGCGCTGTGTCCTTCGGAGAGACGGAGCGCGTCCGCCGCTCTATTGCGTTTGATTTACGGGCACCTCGCAAGCGAGTGCTTCAAACAGAAAGGACATGCATGCGCGCTCTGCTTCGCTCTGCATCGCGCTGCACGGAGATTCATGGGCAAGGCAGAGTGAAAGAGGCAGGAGTGAGTGGTCTCGCGTCGCTCTCGAAACGGATGTGGCCGACGTCGAGCGCGCTGCAGTTGTGGGCGAATGCTCGCCGGGCACGGAGGTGTGAAGGATTTCTGTGTGGCCAACTTGCGGGTAGCGGACGACTCGGCAGCCGAAAGGAACCGTTTGGAAGGGCTGGGGCTGAGTTGTGGGTGTATGTGTGCGTGCGTGTGTGTGTGTGTGTGCGCGCGCGCGCGTGTGTTTGTGGCTGTGTGGGTGGGTATCCGAGTGCTGTGGTGTGCAGGCCGACGATGCGAGACATCGTCAGGAAGGCCGAGGCCCTCTGGGGGGGATGCAGGAATTGGACAGGGTCTTCTTCCTTGCGCAGGGTCTTCTTGCCTGTGCTCAGGCCCCGCAGCCCTTCGGTGTGTAACGGCCAAATCGGGCACGCCTCGCCACTGCAAGTTTCATCGCGACCCTCGATGAAATTTTGACGTCGGAAAAGGGGGTCATGTGGCTGAGGAGGAGCAGCGGGGCCAGAATGTGGAGCGAAGAGTGGCGAGCCGATGCATAACGTCGGGCGTGCCCGCAATACCACCGCGCTACACTGCGAGTCAAGCCGGTCCTGTCAACGCAGTGGGCCAGAATACTGGCGCAGGCTGCCAACATTCTAGACGCGTTTTGAACTCCGCTAATCAGGTCTCGAACCGAACGTGTGACCCCACCAATGGATTCCTCGTTCGGAGAGCAATTCATTGGTGGGGTCACACGTTCGGTTCAAGCACCATTTAGCGACTCTGGAGCTAAAAACGCGAAACTGCGAGTCGATTTCCTCAGTGCAGTGGACTCCGCGAGGCGATAATGCACGTCCCCTCGGCGGTTCGCGGCCCCATTATCAGTCTTGGCCATCGGCGTGGTATTAATTGCCTGCACACTGACGTGGAGCAAGGGTTCCGAAGGCTCTCTCTCTGTCGCATGCGCGGGGCGGCCGTACGGGTGCGAGAGAGACGGCAGCGGGCTTGCGTAACCATGACCGGGACCCCGAAGACCCCCCGGGATCCCCGGCGGGATCGGTGGGCGGGGCGGGTCCCCCGGGACGCCATAATCATAATGCCTAGTGTCGTTGGCCCCTGACCCGTGCAGGCGATGCGAGCTCTACATCTCTGCCGTCTTGCCACGCGCCTCGCACGCCTTGCGTCCATCTCTGTCACGTTTCTGCCACCGCGGACCGAGCGCTTTTTAATTTTGGATAACGTTTGTGGGAATCGCGAGTACCACACACTGCAATATCTTTCGCCGGCACACCGTGGGCCACAGGACCGTCGAGGGTGGCAAAAACACTAATAGCGGTTTGAGCTCCAGAGTCGTTTGAATCGAACGTGTGACCCCACCAATGGATTCCTCTTTCGGAGACTTATCCATCGGTGGGGACACACCGATGGATTTGAGTCCTATTTAGCGACTCTGGAGCTCAAAACGCGTCTAGAATTTTGCCGCCTCCACCGGTCTTCTGGCCCACTGTGCTCGGTGGCTGCAGGCGTGGTCTTGGAGAGTGCACCGACGCGGGATTGGTATTAATGGATGAGGCTGGAAAAGGTGGATCAGGTGGGGAGCTAATGGACGCCGAGTCATTAATGCTTCACATGGTGCTCTGTGTGCAACTTCCGGCAGAGGGGCTGTCACTCAATCAGCCGGCAGAAAGTAGCCCGGGCTGGCGGATGAACCCGCCGACAGAGGTCAACTTTGCCAAAAGAGATAAAGAATTCAGAGGCTTAGCGAAACCAGTAATACC